AAAATTTACTCTGTAATTGTTGGATCATTCTAGCAGTAATCTAAAAAATTTTTAAAGTAATTCCTACCTAGTGACCCTAGTTTTTTTCAGGACTGAAACCAGAAACATAACATTAACTTTCCTAGGCTTAGTCTACTGTTTGTTGTTCTTATAAAAAAGCTAGTAAGTGAAATTTCCGTACTGTGGACCTGTACATCATAATATATTGTACATGCATGTATATTGCATATACTTGCCATAAGCGGTAAAAGACAAGCATTTCAGTAATGTTCTGTGGCTTGAGACACAGTTTCATTTCTTAGAAGTCAAGAAAACCCAGTGAACCATGAACTGTACAGACATGTAGCCTCTTGCCCTCCCCACACTCCTGGTCACTGTGCCCGTCCAAGAATAGTGGCAACCAATGTTTGGCATTTGCGTATTCAGCTCGATGCTGGCATATTTCACTGCGTTTACTGGTCTCAGTGCCATCGTGGCAAGAGATGCCGATATTTTAGGCCTCTAACAATGTAAAGTCGGCAGGCAAAACTAAGGAACAGTCACGTAATCTGACACTCAATACAGCTTTCTGTATCAAGATTATTTACCGGACAGTCAACCTTTGGAACAACTTACCACCAAATATCGAAACACTATCCAGTCCATCTATATTTTTAAAAAAAGTCATTCACCAACTGTTAAAAAATTTACATAATTTTGTGATTAGTTTGTATAATATCTTTCTTTTGTAAATAATGTAAATCTCATTTCGTGCAATGTGACAATGTACGTTTTTATGAACCCTGTAAAACTAGTTATTCGGCTAATATAATAAAGACAATAAGATACGCCCTCCAAAAAATTACTCAAGCAACTGGATATGATTTTTGGAAGTTGCTTGAGTAACTGTTTCTTTTTTCTTTTGTGTACACATGTATCTTATTACCTGGATGTCTAACTTTCACCAACGTAAAGACAATAAAGACAATGTTATCATTTTCTTTCCACACAATACTAGTCAATAGATTTTATCTCACTCACCACAAGAAATCATGGCTAAAGGCAGAACAGGCATGATGAAACGAAACTCCTTGTGGCCAAGACAGCTGGAAAATGTAAGAGATTTATCAACAACATGTGACAGGCGGTATTATCCGTATAACATATAAATGTAAACCCTATGATTTATTACATCATGAGTTGCTTTGAATTTGTATTTAGCTTCTTTTCAGAAAGGTCAGAAATTCACAATAAAAAAGAAAACCTATCACACTTTGTTTAATTTGCCTATAACATTGACCATTGCCTGACTAATTCTCACTATAAATATACCTTAGGCATATCTTAGGAATAAAATGTTGTTTCCTGTTTCAATCTTGAAAAAATTGGGTCAGTAGGTAGGGATTATCTTTTTTTTTCTTTCTGTATCTGTATCTGTATCTGTATAGCCGGTATAACCGCCTTTCGGCGTAACACACCAGCTTACTTTCTTCTTTTTATTACACTTTGGCAATCACTAGTGATCCAACTTATTATACAATACAGTTTAACAAAGTAAAACTTGCATAAGGACACTTGACACTTTAAATGTCAATGTTGAAAACCTGATTGTTCAATGTTTCATCACTCAACTGTCTGAGATCATGGACATAGAATCAGCTCGAAAAGTTATGTCCCTTGCAGCTGCAGGGCTCCACCCCAAAGAAAGGCTAGGATTGGGAGTTCTTTCTAGGGTCGGTCGGGAAACAGGAAACAAAACATTTTTTTTTCTAAGTGCTAAGAACACTAACCTGTAAACCATCACTGTCCAAAGAACTATGAGCAAAACCAGCTTTTGCTTCCTCCAGAACTTCACAGCACCAAAGACGAAGGGGAAAAGTTGTGTTGCCATGACGACAGGAAAGCCCTGGGTGAGGTACCAGTGCCAGGGGTGGCTGCCGTAGAACGAGCCCTGGTCACTCAGCACGTTGAACTCCAGGAAGTTATACTGAACCAGCACCCACTTTCAGAACAAAAAAAAAGCATCATTCAAGAACTTACTAAACCAAACCAAAAAAGACCTGAGTACAAGTACAATATTTCTATAGCTGGCAATTTTTACACCAATTTACAAACTTCTACCAGGGCTCGAAGTTCATTTTTGGGAATAGGTGCACTTACTTACAGGACTGGTGCACTGGTGCACCCAACTTACACTAAGGTGCACACGCACCCAGTATTTCAAGCCCTGTCTGACAAATCTTAATTGATACAATATCTTACTAGTAGTAACATATGCAGACTGAAAAATCTGCAATAACACACAATTGGCTTTCCAACTGACAGAATCAAACATGGTTGGCAAAACATAAAGCATTATTTACTACAAGATCTTTAAAGTTACTCTTTCCTCTGCATGATACAACATCATGCACCTCAACAGCAGAAAATCACCCTTTCTTCCTCAATAGTCCATCAGTCAAGAGAAAATTTCATGCTGACAGTTTCTTCCCCAGAACCACTTCACTGTGGAACAAGCTTCCCCGTGAATGTTTCACCGCTAATTACAACCTCCAACGGTTTAAATCAAGGGTGAACAAATACCTGACCACGCAGTCATCACTGTAACCCAAAACATGTAAGTGGCTCTCACGAGCCTTGTTTTGAGGTGAATTCTGAAGTAAATAAAAAAAAAAACATACCTTCCCATAGAATATCCTATCAACCACAGCAGACCATGCCAAGGCCCCTACACTGTAACAGACGAAACACACAAAACATTACAGTCGTACTAAACATGTTTTGTAAAGATACATGAATTTGTGGTGAAAGTGCTTCCATTAGTCAACTAACTGTAAGTATGTGTCATTGTGATACTTCTTTCAATTCAAAACACACATTTAATCAATCAAACTTTATTCCCCAACAATTGTAACAGGTAAAATGCATGGCAAGTTCTTAAGAATTTTTGACTTCATACATGTATTAAACTAATACCTATACTTTTGTCTACAGCAATACACAGGAGTTCCAATAACGTTACATGTATGGAACATGATTACATGATAATCACTATACCACACCATTTTGTGTAAATAGTACAATATACATTTTGTATGGACTGCATGATACGTCAGTTGTTTGTGTAAGTTATAATCTGATTTCTTAGCATTAGATATATATTGGCCTTGTATGTGACATCAAGACTTACCCGACAGGTATAAAGTGTAGAGTGAATGTATGAAGCTTGTTCCTACAGCTCACCAGGTGTAGACCACACAGTGGGAGCCACATGATGGCTGCTGTGGGCCTGACCAGGCAGGACAGAGCAGCTAAACTCAGGTAGATCACCACCTGTTTACTGGGGGAACAGGAGTGATTGAGTAACTAAGTTATATAGATTGTTCCTTTATGTATACATGTACATGTACCTCGATAACAAACAAAATTCTGGAATCAGAAGCTTAAACTAAGGCCACACCAATTTAATTTCTTGGTTAACGGATTCGCCCACTTCGTTTTTTTGAATAGTTGAAAACAGTCCTTTTCATCCTAGTTGTTACAGTTATTTCATCTTTCAATGCAATGGTATCATTAAAAGTTAAAAATTCATTGTTTAAATTTTGAACCAGCCTGGTGTGTTGACTTCATGGCTCCTATCGTACCATTTTGGGTTATAATAGGATGCCTAGGCCTATTTTTATTTTTATTTTTTTTCGCCCGCCCGCTCCATTATTTTTCTCGAAAAATCTGTTAACCAAGGAATTAAATTGGTGTGGCCTAATGACTGTTACAATTATCATGAAAGTTCGTCTGTGCTGGTAGCAACATGTTTAAACTTAAAGGCAAAACTTTTGCACCAACACGAAAAGGTAAGTTAGTGTTCTTACCTAGAGCATTTGACCAGTCACTCTAGTGTTCTTCACTAGACTGACCCATTGAGACTTGTCACGTGGCTTCTCTAAAGTGGGATTTCAACATCAGGCCCTATTACCCTTCACTCAACCGTGGTGGAGGCCGACATTGTTTACCAGATACCTTGAACTCAGTACAGCACAACATTAGCACGGTTCTGTTATCAAAAACAAACCTTGACACTCTAGTTGAAGCTTCCTGTGGCCAGGGGTAGTAGTACAAAGCAGCTGTGGTGAGGACTGTTTCCATGGAGTTGGTCAGAGTTCTGGGTCCACAGTAGAACATGAACCAGGACAGAAGCTGGCATAATAGCTGACACAATCGTTATGGAATCATCACATATGACACGTTCCGATTCGCTATGGTAGGGCCTAGTGAAAAATGTTGTGTTTCCTATTTCCCAACTGACCCTAGCCTTTATTGTGTGTGGATCCCTGCAAGGGACATACTGACCTTTTTTAGCTCCATGATCTGACACCTGAGTGATGAAACGTTGTACAATCGTTTTTCCAACATTGACATTGCAAATATTTAAGTGCCCTCGATCATGCAAGTAAATTGTTAAAACTGTATTTTACCCATATCCCTACCTACCAACCGTAATTTTTTCAGGACTCTTTGAACATGAAACAGGAAACACAACATTTTTTTATTGGCCTATTGGCAGGGCTGTCATATCATAATATCCTACTTTACAATACTGATAAGCTTTCACAATTGGTTTTGCTTATCACCTACTGAACTCAGTTCGTATCTTTATGTCATCCTTGGTGTGATATTAATATCCCTGGGCTAATTTGTACAGGCATAAGTCAAGTTGGTGACACAAACAAAAGGATACAGTCCATTGTGCTACTTCTTTACCATGTAACTTCCTGGTGACCTTGTACAAGTGAAGGTCACATAGTGCTGTAAAGAGTCCCTGAAGAAGTCTTGGGAGAAAAACCTGGAAATCATAGATAAAAAAAATTTATAGTGCATTGCTCAATTATCAACATACTGTCATTAGGCCACACCAATTTAATTTCTTGCTTAACGGATTTTTCGAGAAAAATAATGGAGCGGGCGGGCGAAAAAAAAAAAAAAGGCCTAGGCATCCTATTATGGCCCAAAATGGTATGATAGGAGCCTTGAAGTCAACACACCAGGCTGGTTCAAAATTTAAACAATGAATTTTGAACTTTTAACGATACCACTGCATTGAAATATGGAATAACTGTAACAACTAGGAAGAAAAGGACTGTT